GTGAAACCCTCCCCCTCTCCCCTACTAAAAATTCTGAACGTTGAAAAATTCTGAATGAATTCTTAATATTGTTTTAGCTTTCTCCTCTATACTTCATTGCCTGTGAGAAGCAGAAGCACACGAAAATAGCCTAGTTTTAACACGGTGCTGATGATCAAGTGCTTGCGAGGAGATTTTCGGTAACTTCCTACAGTGGAGCTTATTCGCTCTCAGCTTCACCTAAGCATCAGTTAGAAAAGAAAATCTCTGGCATGGACCAGTGCCAATTTACTGTCAAGCGAATAGGTGAGCTGGTTGCTCTGCTGGCAGAGTTATCTATAGATGTGTACTTGAAAACAGTGCTACTTGCTAATGCTTGATCCAACTCGCTCGTATTGTTGTAGAAGTAGTAATAGTAGTAGTACTTGAGGATTGCTGGGAGTTTTTTGTTTAGATTAAGCTCGTTTATTTTGCTTTCAATTCTAGTGCTTTTCAGTTGTCGTATTTTTTTTTACCTTGAAATCTCTGTGGATCAAAGAAGCCATGAACTGTCGTCTGTTTGCTTTGTTGATTCTTGTATTTCATGCATTTCTTTCATTTGGGTTTCTCTAATGTAATAGGTTCCAGTGTTTGCAAAATGTTCTGTTCGATGTATACATTTTGTATATCTTGCTTGATAAATATATCGGATAAAGCAAAAACTTCAAACATTTGTCTTTCATAACTCGTGCATTGTCGAAAACATCGAAATATTTGTACGACTTTGCATCTGCTGTTGATTTAGCCCTTTAGATTAGCCTACTTTGGCCGTATTTCAATGGAGATTTGACTCTGGATCGTGTCACTGATCCATTCCCTGTAAAGTGTTATTTCCGTCAGAGTTTTCTCCATTTTTATGTGTTGTGACATACGTGCAAATGCGAAAACGCATATTGGGACGAATTATGGTGTGTGCGTGTGTAGGTGTGTGTGTGTGTGTGTGTGTGTGTGTGTGTGTGTGTGCATGCGTGTGCATCTGTCTGGTGACGGCCCGTGTTGTGCATGTGTGTGTATGTGTGCATGTGTGTGTGCGTCTGTACGGGTATTTCAACTCGGCAACTAAACATTCTCCTATGCTAAAATTTTGTCAGCGAGTTACCCGGCCAATTGCCACAGCAGGACCGCGATACCACCCTTCACGCGCATCTGGACCCCACGTACAACCATGTGAAATTTTTAGCGGAATAACTGGGAAAAT